TTATAAGAAAACAGATTGAAAATAACGAAGCTTTCAAAGACCATTATTATTGACGAAAAAGTTTGTAAAATTGTTAACAATGAACCAAAAATTGTGATCCCTGCTGATACTAGATGGAGAGTCGCAAAAATGTTCCACGATGACAATGGTCACCCAGGGTGGCAAAGGACTTTCGATACCATCAAAGCTACTTATTGGTTCAGGGATATGAAAACTTTCATTAAGAAGTTAGTGACACGTTGTATTGCCTGTATGACCAGTAAAAGAACAACCGGAAAACAAAGGCTCACGTTACATCCTATCGAAAAGATCGCTGAACCTTTCCATACCTTACATGCAGACCATTTGGGCCCCTTTTGTAAGTCGCCACGAGGTAACACTCACTCATAGTTATAGACGGATTCACAAAATTTGCCTGGATAGAAGCGGTCCCAAATACCGGTAGTTTGCATGTTTGTGAAGTTCTAGAACAGATATTCAAACTAGTCCATCCACCTGAAATAATTATCACAGATAGAGGAAAAGCGTTTCACTGTAAGGTGTTTGAGGATTTTTGTGAAAAATATAAGATTAAGCATGTGAAAAACTCCACTGCCCACGAAGTAACGGGCAAGTAGAAAGACCCAATCGAACTATACTTGAAGCCCTTACTGCGAGTATCAACGATGAGCATGATGAGTGGGACTACTACCTGATACTAGTACAAACAGGTATTAGCTCCACCAAGAATGCCACGACGGGAGCTACGCCAGGTGAATTATTGTATGGGGTTAGTCCCAAAGTACCAAATGAGATTCGTTTAAGTGTAACCCAAATAAAAGATTTGGAAGACACCCGAAATATTGCCAAGAGGAGATGTGATGATGCATCTAAAAAGATGAAGAAACGCTTCGACAAAAATAAAAGAGCTCCCATTAGGTATAAAGTAGGAGACTTAGTGTTGGTAGAGAGAACTCTACTTGTGAAGAGACTCACCAGTGGAGAGCTAGTCTCCAAGTACATTGGCCCAGTAACGATAATGGAGATATATCCACAAATAAGGCGATGAATCTAAGAATCGGCACCATCTATGTCAAGGGAACGCTGGTTCTAAAAAAAAACGCCCGCATTGCTTAACCAAGGGATGCATTGTTCTCAGATTATCGATGGAATCTGGAACCCGAAAAAGGGCTAAAAAGGTCGGGTTCGAGGTGCAAGGAGAAGAAAGAAGCTGTTAGTTCGATTACGGTTTTTGTTCCTCGACTATATGTATTGAAAAATAAAGTTTTGCTAAAGAAATATTTGACGTTTTTAACACTAGACACATTTTTGCTTTGTTGAGGTTTCTCTTTAGATGTAAGTTACATGTTAACCTAGCGCCCAGGATGAGACCTAGGTGTTTCACTTCGTTAACTATTTTAATTCTCTCCCCGAAGATGCTTAGGTTGTATTCCCCCCGTTTCGTCGTCTAGTGAAAGGTATTAGCGCGGTCTTTCTGGCGTCGACCATGAGGTTTGCTTCCTCTCACCAGCGTTGTACAGCTATCAGGGCTGTTTGGATAACTTCTTTTATGATCATGGGATATTTTCCTTGTATCGCTACATCGTCTGCATACCCTTGGCCGTAGAATCTCTGTAAGTTGTTCTCAACTTTAACCACCCAATGTGCTCGAGCAACTCTTGCTGCGGCGGTGACCATGACATCAAAGGCTCCCAGGGCCATTTCTTTGTTGTGAATCGAATGGGAAGAAGGTGACAATTTGGATGAGCATTCTTACGTTATTTTGGGGAATTTAAGTTTAGTCTTTGTCTCTTATAATAAATTATTTGATTCACCCCAAACTTCTAGTTTCACAAAAAAGTTGATTAATGGTCGGTACTACTTTGAGCTTTCTTCATTATTTTGCCCTGGAACATTGAAGCTAATAAATCTCATTAAAAGCCCTTAAGCAATCAATAAAGTACCGCTGCCATTAGAATTCGTTCACTTTCTCTTACGAATCAGCAAAAGTGCAACAAAATATAGTCCAGAAGTAGGTACTATACGAGGAAAAAATCCGAAATAGCAATCAGTATCTTTCACTTAAACATTTGCATCTGAAATTGGCGATTCATCTCACGGTTGGGCGTGTACCCAACGAGAAAGCGTTTTAACAAAAACGACTTCAACCATACAAACTGCAGTTTCCTTATTTTTGTGTTTGTGTGATTTATACGAGAACATATTAAATTTCAGTAGCCATAATCTCGGTTGGAAGCACTTTGACAAAGATTCGAAAGCGTTATAAGACCATAACGATTATTGTGCTTGGAATTTGGCCATATACCTACTTATTGAAATTATTGTTGGCCATTAGTTGCTGATGAAGATTAAATGTTTGTGATTTTATGGCAGAGCTTTTTGGAAGTTTTTATTAAATAAAAAGGAGTAGGTATAAACCTACTTTTGTTTTTGTTAGCATGATATTTGCACCTGCAGAAATAATGTAGCATAATATTATTCTCATCATGAAATTTATAGGTAGGTAGATGCCTACTACCATATAATCTGAAAAGATACTGTTTTCCCGCTACATTGTTTTTGTTTTGTCGTACCAGGAAGTGTGCAGTTATAAGTTGCGTTGTTACGAGGTACCCGCGAGGTGGTACTTTGTAGGAAGATATACATTAAGGAAAATAACGTATATTTTTACGCCTCCTACGACACTAATTAGGGCGTACGAGGAAACGTATTCTGCTCTTAATGAACTTTAGATGTATACTTTTGAGTGGCGGTAAGACAAGTGCCTTTTTAGGAATTTCTCTTATTTTTTTGGTTATTAAAAATGCACACCTACAAATGAAAAAACATCTTATGTCATGTCATAGACAAAAAAAAAACGGAATGCGGAAAAAAATAATCCAAGTATCAGGCACTTCAGCAATATACATTAATTACGATGGCAGTCATTAAATTGGAATCTTTTTGCATCTAGATTCGCGAGATTGAAATAACTGGGTAATATCTTGGTAAATATTTATAGAAGAAGCTAGTTAACCATCTGCAATATGTAATGTTTGCTATGTTATATATCATACTTGAGAATGTTGGAAGATGGCTGATTTTTGTTTGCCTAATGACATGTCTCAGATATGTTGCTTTTTATGTGGTTGGAAATGCTAATGGGGTTTATAACCTTGTTTCTTCGAGAATAAAAAGCATTGAAATGTGATTAGGTTATATTGAAACATGAATATGCCTTAAACAGAAAATTTGCTGTCCACATTTGGGAAATTGGGTATTGAAAACCTATTTTTACACTTTTCAACGAATAAGGGTGCACGACAACTATTTGTGATGGCTCTTAGTTGGTGTTTAGTTTTATGAGGGTTTTTGCCTCTTTGCAGTTTAAAGGATCTTGTATAAAGATCCTTGACTGTCTGATGCCTCTTTGATCCAGTTATTCGTCTTGGAACTGGTTGTTGGACCAGTTCCTGATCTTGGTTTTCACGAGACAGGAAGCAACCCCAAGTGCAGACTCTGGCCCAGTGAACGCAGTGTTGCTACCTTCACGAGCCAGCTGGTCCGCCTCCATCTACTTTGCAGTAGAAATCTGTTTCTTTCAACCTGTGGTTAATGATGAAAATCTATTCCAAATATTTCACTTAGGACAGTCTTTGTGTACTACCTTACCTGACTGTCTTAGTTATCGATTAGATAAACCTAGCAAACTGTTGTATATAAAGCGTGTGATCTCCTATTTCTATTTTTTTAAGAATTCAATCAAATATAACGAAATTCGCCTTGATGTAAAAATCGTGCCAGACAAGACCTTATCGACTTTCAAATAATTTATATTGCAGAAGCTCTTTGGTAGGCTTAGTGCTTACTTCAAAAAGTAGCGTCTAAGCAGTTGTTTCATTTATTATTATTATTCAAAATTATGGTTCCTACACCACTGTTGTCCCGTGAGAAGTCATTGAAAAATGTTCAAGTTGTGATAAATCTGTTTACTATAATCCATTACAACAATCAATACGGAAGAATATCCTTGAATTAGGTTCAAGACGAATTGGAAATCATCTACCAAAAAATAATCTCACCAATACCAATCCTCTAGCCCCTGGCGGGCGGTACCACCGCGATACGAAGGAATCTGTGCCAGTGGGTCTCGAATCGCTGCACCGGGGGTCAAAGAGGTCCAATGATTTTTTTTTTTCACAGATTTCTTCGAGCATAATATACATATATATCCATAAATAAACAGTTTTAGTTGTGATAGAAAATGAATATGAAAGACGCAACAAAAAACGTCAAAGTACCACGAAGATGTTTTGCATAACTGACTAAAGAAAACAACAAAAAGTAATTTGCATTTAAATACAAGAAGGCACACGATCATAGAAACAGTTACAAAACGTAAACAATTTCCATTATAATTACACGAACGTTAGTTAATGAGCAGCTCTGTGACAACACAATGGTACTAGTATAGCACGGTACTCTAGGCTACGACCTAGTAAAAACGATACGCGAGTTTGGATTATACTTATTTCTTCTTGATTTGCCATCATACGAGTTTCACAAAAAAATTATGTATCCAGTTAGGGTTTCATAAAGCAATTTATAAATTTTTGTTTGCAATTTCTTATTGTAACACATACCACGTATTACCACCAAATTTTTGACGTGCCATGCAAATTAATGTGAACCAATGTGTGATTATAGAATTAAATATAAAATTCAATTATTCATTTGTTATACATTCTTATGCACTACCGGAGTATAATGTTGAAGTTCATGTTTGTGAAACATGATGAACGAACAAGAATGATTGCTCAGAATTTTACAATGCACTTTCAAATAAGTCAAATTCATGTATTTAATTTATGTAGGTAGTGCTAAATACAGATCATTGTAAGCAAATTTACTTATGCTGGCGGGCCTTTCAGTGTAGAATTCTTATGCAAAATCTAAAAGTAAAAATCATTTAACGTATCTTCTAACAGATTGATTAACATTTATTTGTCTTTTTGTTATAGATGATGAAGATTGGAATGGTAATCCAGCAGATTCAAGTATATACCTTATGCATGGGAACCATCAAGTCTCCTTAGCACGGCCTGCAAAAACTTCTGAATCGAATTCAGAAAAACCTAAGGAAAAGATTCAGAAATTTTCCAGGTAAATTCTATCATAGTTTTAACCAACTTGATCAATTATCAAAAATATTACTTCTAGGTATGCTCATCACGAAGATATAAAATACACGAAATCCTTTGACGATGACTATCGCAAATCAATGTCCAACAACATAAGTAAATATTTGGAAAAACCCATTTCCAAGTTTTCCGATAACAAATATCTCCAGAGGCAAAAATCAATGATCAGAGATCGCGAAGAAGAAAAAGAAGTTTCGAAAGAAAACTTTAGAAAATCACTCGAAAGAGACCTTTCGAGTAAATTAGAAAATAGATATTATGAACAAGACAAAAACACTAATAGAGAAAATAAATATTATTATAACGAAAGGAAAAATAGCGACAAACAAAAACCGCCCCAGCAGTATTTCGAGGATGACGGCTTTGATGAAAATATCAGATCCAGAAATAACTCTACAGACTTTGACAAAGAGCGACCGACCAGGACTTTCTCTTACGAAGAGGAAGTCTTCTTCGAAGAACAAAGGCCTGTACCTAAAACCAGACAAAAGATTAATGAAAAAGACGAGCTTTCGGGAAGAAATTTTAATGGAAATAAAGAAAAAAGTAAAATTAACCCTATTGATCCTAGATATTACGAACCAAGAACTCCTCCAAAAACTAACAGGTATAATAATATGAAAAAAAATTCTAGATTTTGTAATTTGGCTTTATTTTTTTTTATAGGAGCAGTCATGATTTTGACAACAGAGGCTTCAGTAATAACAAAGAAGAGTTTAGTTATAATTCCTCTAAAGACAAATATTATTATGAGGGCAACTCTATTAATATGAGGGAACCTCAATTTAGGCAGAGATCACCGTCTCCTGATGATGTCAAGGTAAAATAAACCAGAAAATAATCTACATAATTTTCTAAAACAAATCAATTTTTGATTTTCTTATGACAATTTCAATGTAAAAATGAACCTTTTAATAAAGGACTTTGAATATGATGTTCGAAATATTGGTGATTATACCTGAGAATAACTAACGATCGAATTTAACTTGTTTAGGCTCCACGAGATAGATTCAAAGATGCAAAAGAAAAATTCCTTCTTATGGAAAAAGATAGATTAGAACAAGAAAGACGCCAGCCAGAACCTCCAATATCTCCAACCATACATAGAGATAAAATTCATTTTATTAAGAGACATCAGAGCATGGCGTACCCTTCCAAGGAACATATAAGAAATAAGTATGAGGATAGGTAAGATTTAACTCCATCTATAAAAGGCCAGAAGTTATTGTATATTTTTTTAAAGGTACTCCAATGAAAGAAATAATGAGTTTTCAGAGGAAATTTGCCCAAAACCTGCTCCGAGGTACAGTTCTGAAGAAGTACGATACAGAAATAAGAGCAGAGAAGGGTAAGAGAGTAATTTCCACTGTAGGTAGTTGAAACTCGCCAGTAAATGGAAAAATGTGAATGAATTTAAATATCAACCCTGTCAAACAATAACTTATAAATTCAATTATAAGTGAACATGGAGCAGTGGTCGAATTGGCAACGGGCGTTTTTTCAAATCGAACGATTTCTTTGTCGCGACACGGCGACGTTTTTGTAGCCGCTACAATATTTGGCGTATATGTGATGCTCCCTCAAAAAATTTAATGAAATCTTGGGTTTAAAAATTCAGACAAGGTGCACAGTTGCAAATCAGATTGAGCGCATCGGATTTCCATTCGCAACACGTCGTACAACCTCAATGTTCTATGGTGTTCTGATGGACTTCTGTTGATTGGGACGCTTCTGATTTGCCACTGTACCACTTTGTCTGTATCTTTGAACCCATGATTTTTATAATTTTTTTGAAGGAGCATCGCGCATCTAATATTGTAACGGTTACAAAAACGTGAAAATTTTGGGTTAATTTTCTTCGCTTTTTCATCCACAGACGCGTTTCGATCTATCAGATCTCATCAGTGTGGCTAGGAAAGCAAAGAAACTCAACCCAAGTTTAGTGACTGTAGGCAAAGTAGAAGTAGTACGAAGAGTTAATTTTGGTTGTTGCGTCATCTAAGACTAGGATTCAGCACTAAACAACATTTTTGCTGTAACAGTACTGACCGTCTAATAGGCCGACCAAAAATCAGTTGTTGGGAAAACCCAAAATAGGGAAAACAAGTTTTCTCCTATTCTACACTGATGTGAAAATTGGAAGGTTAGTAGGTACTGTTACAGCACAAATATTGTTTAGTGCTGAATTCTAGTCTTAGATGGCGCCACGACCAACATTCGCTCTTCGCACTACTTGTACTTTGCCTACAGGCACTAAACTTGGGTTGGGTTTCTTTACATTGCTAGCCACACTGATGAGATCTAATAGATCGAAACGCGGTGGAAACGCGTCTGTGGATGGAAAAGCGAAGAAAATTAACCCAAAATTTTCACAGTTGTAACATTCGAAATGACACAAAAATATATTTATTTCCTACTGAACTATTATTACCATATAATACGTTGGTTACAATAATCATAAACAGGGTCTTAACTCCAAAGGGATTTAAGGATTTCATAACTCCCGCTTTTACCTTGAATAGGTGAAACTTTGACAAAAAATAGAAATTTTGGTTTATGATATAATCCTTTATAAAATGGACAAAATACAATAAATTCAGTAGGAAATAAAATTATCTATGTACCACGGGAATTATCAGGTGTTAATACCAACGAGCAATTGGTGTCCCTCGTGCCGAAGGCCCATGGAGACATAAACTGTGCCCTGGGGTATTAACACCCTCATAATTCCCTTGATACATAAATAACTATATTGTTCTTGATTAATTTTATATATTTTGGACTCATGTAAAAGTACTGTTTCGTAAACCTAGCCACATCTATGATTCTTCTGACTAGTTTGCCAAACTTAATATCGAGAATTCTGTTGTTTCCGAATCACCTGTAGCGCTGTCATTTTTATGATTTTGATAAGCTTGACAGATTAAGAAAGAAAAGAGTTCATTGGAAAAGACAGTACTTTTGACTTGCCCTTTTTCTCTTTTGTTTTGGGACCGAACAGGTCGTCCAGATTTTTAGAAGTGATTAAAAATCCTAAAACTTTACCTATATTTTTGGCCATCGAGTCAATATTCTTACCGAATAACTAGCCAGTAAAGTGCTCGCTCGTGTCTACCTGAAAGTTTCCTGTTAAATCAACCGATTGTTGATTGTGAAGATTTTTGAAAGTAAGGTTACTATCGGCCGTTCAGGCACCTTTGGCAGGACGAAAAATCCGTTACTGCACTTCTCCAAGTGAAAATTGACAAATTTGAGACCACGCTGTCCTGAAACTCAGAGCAAATCTGGGCCCGCTTTTCAAGGAAAGTTTGTGTCCTGTAAGAAGTTGATCCCCAACCATTATTTGGTTGTCTCCAGCCAGTTTGGAACCTCCAGAGCTCAAATTTGTGAAAGCTTCCGAGGCTTTATAAGGATTCCGTCCAGGCTTGTATATTTACTTACCTATGGGTGTCTTAAACGTGCCATCTTAACTACCGTAACTTATTTTAACCTTTTCTTTATCGCCCCCTATCGTTTAGCGTTATTAGCTAATTAATATCTATGTATATTCAATTACCGACTTAATTTGTTTACCGTATAGTAGTGTTTAGCTAGAATAGCTAACTACTGTTTAAATATAATTATTAATTTCATTGATTAATAGTTATCAGGGTCAGATATTAGCTTTTGTTTGTTACAAATAAAATTTAATTTGTATACTTTAAGATACGATAACCTAGGGTCGTGAATTCAAAGAAAAATTAAGATAACGTGTAGCCCGTGTGCAAATGAAACCACTCAAAATCAAACAAAGAATAATTTTATTTTGTGTACAATGTTATGTAAAATGTCAGGGCTAACAGCTTGGTTTTTCGTGGTGAATCTGATACCAAGTACCTGCTTTCCAATCCGGAGCTCTTCAATGGGTGTTGGGGTTTCACTTTCGTGAACTGGAGGTCTTCGTGTCGTTTCCTGTATCCAGGAAGAGGATAGATTGCTGGGGTGACGTCACTCCAGCTGATCCAGACTCCAAACAGTGATCTTTAGGTAGAGTAGGTACCCAGAAAAGAATAAGGCAGTATCAGGTTCACCAATATTTGGAATATTAAATCCCTGAATTCTGTCGAAAGAGTGAGCGTCTTGCAAAGAAAATTTAAATTGGAATTTAATATAAAATGATTGTTGTACAGACACTCCCTTCCAACAGAATCAGGTATGAACAGTTATTGCAAGTTGAGAAAAAAAAAATATATATTTTAATATAAAAAAAATAATTAAATAATTAGGATTAATGGTAAGATAATAAAAAAAATAAGAATAATAACAGGAATAAATTATAATGATGCTCGTTAAAATTGAGCAAAATGCTGCTTTCTTGATAACAGCTCTGGCCGGCAAAAAAATATGAGCAAAAATAAGGTAAGCAAAAAATTAAAAATATCTCTGGATTCTCCCCTCGAATTAAGGTAGCTACCACAGATACTAGATAAACCTGGGGTTGAAATTAATCAAATCCAAATGAAGCTGTCAAAATTCTTGAGATGTTTTAATTAAAACTTTTTAACTGAATTTTTTGACCTGTCTGGATTTCTATTAAAAACTTACACCCTTTTAGTTAAGATAATAATAATTAGGGAGTCAAACAGAAAATGGTTGATCAGGCCTCTGCCTGGATTCAATAAAGAATTAATGGGGATGGACTCATAAATTTGGTTTTCACCGACTCTATTTAGAGCAAATGGTCCAATTTTCCCACACTAAAAATTGATTCTGAAAGCCACAGCAGCAGTACCTATCTAAAACCTAAAAATCTGTCTTGACTTATCTCTTAAAAAGTGGCACTAAACAGTAAGCAATTCTCACAAAATGGAAGCCAACAATTAGATAAAAGAAACTTAAAATATAATATTTATATTTCAAAGACAGATAAGATAAGATTTATCAGGTAAAAACTAATAAAGATATGACAATTTGAATATTGAAATATTTATAAGGTAGGATCCAGAAATTCAAAGCACAAAATTATTAAAAAAAATAGAGTTCTTGCCTGGCCAGAGTGTTCTTCAAGAAGAGATCGTTTTAGAAACCCCAGCCAGCAGGAAAACAATCCCGTGTTTTTTTTATACTTACTGCATTCCAACCAGTTTTAACCAATCAGACGAGTACACCCAAAAGACCATATTCACTTCAAAATGAAAAGACAATGAAAGACCGCATGGAATAAAACAGAATGGATAAAAATCCACTAAAACTATTTTAATTGTTTACAAATTATAATAATTTAAATTAAGGTTATGTCAAAAATAAAAGACTGTTAATTAATTAGATCATTAAGCCAAAAAATGATTATTTCAGAATCAAAAGTTAGAAAAGGACAGAAATATATGCATTTGCTAAAAGTGAGATAAATATAATTTCTTTCAATGAAAATATAAATAACTGTCAAATGCGAATTTTAAAAGTCATACTTTGAAATATAGATCATCGGGCACTAGATGGCATTACTGAAAAATCAATTCTCGATACTTGCATTTTACGTAAATGTGGATAGATGGCAGCACTTGTATTATTTGAATTTGAATTTTGTGGATATAATTTGGCTGATTCTAAAATGAAAAAAATACGACTTTATAATGAAAATAAGAAGAGATGGAACATGTTACGTAAATGATAAATTTATCGTAACATGTTATAGTTTTCTTTATCATTATTTATTATCCGATAAGTATGCAATATTGTAATTATTATAAATTTATTTCCGTAATATCGAGTACTGATCGATATAATAAACTGCTGGACAATTGCTTTCGAACAAGGTAAATAACGCCTAACTTTCAAGCTCTATATTTTTGGAACCAGACTAGATATCGACCTGCGGTTTTCACGGGCTGACAGATTGACTTTTTGTGAACAAAATTGCTATTTTAAATTTTTTTTAAATGTCTACTTTTTTTTTATACAGTGTGTTAAAAGAGTCCATGTTTTTTATCCCAAATTTGAATGTGTGTAACTTTCTCAGATTTTTAATCATTGACATATTATTAAGAAACCAATTTCTCAAAATTTTGATATTTGCCTTTGTTTTTAAAATATCGTTTATTTAACATAACCATATTAATTTTTTCGATTTTTCCGTTCTAAACCATCCTGAATCGTTCTTACCGGTGAATTTTTTTAGCAATTGTTATACTTTTCAGCCAGCATATTTACTATGAATAAAAATATCGAATACCTCAATGATATGCTGTACAGTGGCGTGCAAAGAGAAATTATTATTTTCCATTAAATCAATTTTATTAGCAATTGTTATATCTTTCGATTAGCGTATTTTTATGATTAAAAAATTCGAATACCTCAATGATATGCTAT